CGGGCGATAAACCCGAATCCTCCCCTCAACTCTTCCTACCTCCGTCCCATTCCCTCCCATTTTCTATCTCCCTCTTCGAAACTATAAAATCTGCAAGCGCATCCCAAAAACTCTCTCGCAACCCAACTGCCAACTTTTGGGAAGTCGTGGCTATCGGTGATGTGCATGCATGTCGAGTTGAAAAGTACTGATGAGCTCACTGCAATTTTGCAAGGTTGTGCATCGTGTGGCCGCGATGGACTGCGGGATCTGGACAAACCGGTGTAGAAGTTGAGTCAGTGGGGTGATGATTGTTGTGGTGTAGAGGTTGGTATGTGGTCGCCGATATCACAAGTACTAGGCTAAGGAAATTGCATGTGAACGAGTGGTTATACGGCTTGGGGCCATAGTTAGAGAGCACCAGTCTTGCGCACCTTTGATCGTCGGTTCCTTCTCTTCTTATATTGGAAGACAAGTTCACGACGAATTGTCGGTCTTAGCTCTCAGATCTATTTATATGCCTATACCTCCTCCTTTGTTTTAGTCCCCTTTTTCAGCCAAGCCACGACTCCGTCTCCTTCCTTCGACCCCATCTTCCTTCTCTTTCTCTCTCTCTCTCTCTCTCTCTCTCTCTCTCTCTCTCTCTCTCTCTCTCTCTCTCTCTCTCTCTCTCTCTCTCATTTTTCGTGAATGATTGATAACTCCCTCGACCCTATCGCGCCCAAAGGTCATGTCCTGCTCGTCTCATTGGATTCAATAGTATGTTGCGAGGATGAGTATCGTTGAATCTAAGAGATCAACGGGAGCAAGCGATCTTATTTCATCCCTCTCTCTACTCCTCGGTATTCGATGGTTAATGTATGAGTGATCCTCTCACACATGTATCGATTGAGTTCTTGCCAAGATGACGGGAAAAAGTCAAAATCTGAAGTGATTACTTCAATGCATGCTTAACTACTCGCGCAAATGAAGAATGGTTGTTCTCTCGACTCATTGGATTGCATGGACTTATGCTTTGGATTGGTTTGCACGATGGGTGGAAGATAATGCATATCGTGTATCTATTTGTTTCTCTGATCGAATAACCGACCGATTTGACATCCACGATCAACCTCGCTTATGCCATGTCGACCAATTGCCTCGATCCGACTCAGCGTCGACTTCCCTTGTCCCCACCACATCCATTTCCGTACAAATTGAATGAGGAAAGGACACGTGTGACGCGCAAACCTCACGCCCTGTGCTGTCTTCCGTTCGGAGTGTTAGCTGTGCGAAAAAGAGGCCCAAAAAAACAGCAAGATGGGGTGTGCCAATGATTTTTGGAAATTGAGTGTGGGGACACAGACGGAACTGAAATCCCCCGTGTTGGTCCGATGGAGCAAGTCGATCGTTTCGCGCGTCGTGGAATGCGCGCGTGGGAAAGGCGGGAAAGAGAGAGAAGGACCCAAATTCAATCCAAAAAGTATTGTCGTGCCTCCCACCGGGCTACAGCCCGTCGTTTAGAACAGAAAGGCTTGGGCACACTTCGCGTGTCTCGTTTTCGTATCAAATCCCGTCGTCGTTCGCTGGTTAGTCCCAAAGAGGAGGGTCTCAGTCGTGTGGCTCTTTCTTTATGTTCGTCTTCACTCCGSACACGGTAGTGGAAACCCCTGGACTCGTAGCGCTCAAAACGCTGACATTCGGTGCACAGAGTGCGCGGCCAGTGGGGTTCTACTGCYGTCCACGGAATGACGATTAACTCGTTAAATGGCAACAATACCGAGTAAGGTGGGAAGTGCGTATCGATAATAACAAACCCGGCTTCYACRAACCCAGAASAGCGGTTGGCCGGAGGGAAGTAATACTGCCYGCCGATTTGTGCAACGGCTTCTCATACGTCCCACTCACATACACGTGTCCTTTCCTCACTGTAAGGAAAAAGTCGTGTTGGGATGGGAGATACGGGAGGCTGGCGCCCAATCGAAAGGTACTTGTCAGTCCACATGTCAATCACTCACAAAATATCCTGAGACGTCATTAAGAACAAAAGCGATTCGCGCGTCCCCCAATCAATCTTTTTGACACAAGARAGAGTAAGCAATCAMAGATCAGTATGGCTACGGGTCCGATCAGTTCAACACAACGTTGGTCCCTGAGCGCCTTGTTTCTCAGGGCCGCCTCGTGGCTCGGCTGCTGATGTCGTGCATCATAAGGCAGATGGCATGCGCAGTGCAAACAGAGCTACARATCTAAACACACTCTTGCATTCTCTAACAAAATCCCGACGACACTCGTCTAATCAAATCGAAAAAGTCACGCATCTCTATATATGCATTCACTGGGGAAGGTGCGAAAATGAGACATGCACAGGAAAAGATGAATCGCATTGCACAATACACACGCATCCACCGTTCACAAGACAAGTAGACGGGGTCCTTGCGTAGGAGGATTACCCAGGAAACTAATGGAAAAGTTCCGGAAGAAGTCTTTCACACAGAAGCAGGATGCCAACTCATTCCTACTCAAGAGAGGGACAACCATTCAGATGCATCATCATTAAAAAAAAGAGAAAAAGAGAGAGAGAGAGAGAGAGAGAGAGAGTCGAGGGAAAGAAAGTCCAAAATAGAAGATGACAAGATCCAGGAAGAGAAAAGTTCGGCGTCACCGCCGTACACTCACGCCAARGATAACAATCCGCAACAAAGGCGCATTCGCCGTTAATTCCAATATGGCYCCGGGCCAATCAACTCAACATCGATCCTCATACCCGCACCGACGATCCCGGCCGTCGCGTGCTAACTCCCACCACTGCGATCGTCCSCYGCTGTTGTAAACTCGACACGGTTCACCCAGATCCCACAGTCCGTCGTGGCGATCCAGCGCGCAACCGGCCAGTCTATCGTCAGCCCGACAGGACTTTCCGACTCGCTTCAAACACTCTGCCTAGCCACTGCTTCCAGGAGGCTGGCTTGAGAGTCGAGAACGTAAGAGAGCTTTGCGGACGCGCTTGCGGGTTTTATAGTTGCGACARGGGAGATAGGAGGGGGAGAAGGCGASAGGAAAGCTGAGGTGTAAGAGGAGAAGCAGGAGGAGAAGACTTTGAGAAGAGTGCTCTACGAACGCCATGCTGATCCCTCGGAACTCAAGGTTCAACCAATCAGATTCGTCGCGCGATAGGAAKGTCCTATCGATCGATGCACCTGATTGGCGAGCGGGAGTTATCGGGGGATCAACYGGGCGTCGTACGCCAGACTTAGAGGGTGAGAAGAGAAAAGGCGCGAGAGGTGGCGCAAGACGGGTCCAAGATTCAGATGATCAAGAAAGGGAAATGGGCGCGCGAAAGCAAGGCGGGAGAGAGAGAGAGGGAGAAGGAAAAACAGTTACGGGGAGAGAGAAAAATGAGGGAGAAGGGAAGGGAGGCGCGCGGGAGGGAGCGATGCGGGGGACAAAGAGGAGGAAGCTTTTGCATGCACGGCGCCGTCAACAAAAAAAGGAAAAAAGGCACCGAAACAGTTACAACTTGCTTCTATCCTAATTCAAAATTGAAATCACCATACCCGCGCGCGAAAAAGCGACGCGGGAAAAGAAAATCCTACGCCTATTCGTATTCACGCAAAATTCCGAGAGTTTTCCCCGACGCGCCCAAGAACATTCACACACCCCAAAAGGACACGTCGAAGTTCCGCTCATCCCGAAATTCCCAACTACCGAGCCCAATTCCCAGTGTGCTCGCTAAGGCGCACGTAAATTCCCATGTATTTCCCGATTTTGCAAAAAGAAAAACAGAACTCAGCAGTCAAAAAAGCTCTCAAAAAGGAAAATGCGGCACCCGAAATCAAGAAATCAAAACGGGGTTTTCCTGGGGTTGGTATGATACAAGCAAAAGAAAGGATACGAAGGATGGCACGGGGTCGTGAAGTGGTTCGTCACATATGTGACGTGCAGGGGGTTCCAAAATTATGTGATCTCCTGATTGCGTGTCATGGCAAAAAAGAAGAGGGGAGAACAGAGTGATGCATGAGGAACCAAACGTATCAACAAAGCAGAAAGAAGTACAAGGAACGATAACTGGGCCGCGGATGAGATGGCGACAACATCCATGGCAAGATCTTCGTAGCCCTGTCATATGCAACCCTCTATCTCGTGGAGATCGTCCAGGTGACGCCATCATGGTCCCCCTGATCTCCGTGTGCTCTGCACCCTTGCTCGTTGTCGTCTGTCGAATCAGCGCGCAGGTTGACGTCATCGTTGATGGCGTGATCTTCGCGAAGCTTACCGATTCGTGCCGATGAAGGGAGGAGA